AGTGTATGTTTGCAGTTACATTATTTATTGCAGTACAGCAGTAGTACAGACACACAGGCATGAATTTCTTGTTGATAAGAGCAGTGGAATTCCCTGCTGTAATGTTATATATAAAATGGGTGGAAAATTTTCAGAATACCAGCAGCATTTATGATCATATTTATGGTTCACTATCAATTCTCACGATGGGGAAGATTGGCAGGGTTAAGGAAGCGATGATGTCAGCCAGCTGCTTTAAGCCTCTCAGACAGATGTTTTTGCTGTGTTCTGCATGGAGACCTCAAATTCCATCTATAAAGGATGCAACTTGTACAGCAACTGCAAGACTGATGAAATTACTCGAGTGGCCTTCTGCATGTAATTCATAATTCATGAGTAACTTGAATGCAGATCAGGATGTTCGTTGTAAACTGATTGTGTGATGAGGCAATCTTTCATCTCTCTGGCTATGTCAACAGACAGAATTTCTGATACTAGAGCATTGAATAACCCATGCACCTTTTTGAAACCCTCTGCACATAGCGGAAGTTGCAGATTTACGCAGCATATCTGCCTTTGTAGTTTATCAGACCATACTACTTTGAATAAGGTAGCCACACAGTGATTGTAACCTTGTAGTGATATCATGTGATGCTCAGAATGTTGGAATTGGAGTGAGATCTGGTTCCAGCAAGACTGAGCAACCACATACAGCTCAGGAATCAGTGAACTGTTCAAGAGTCATGCTTCCAGGGTGTCTTACATTATGGGGGCTCTGCCTAACTGTCATATCTCCGGACCTCACAGTGTCTGACTTCTTCCTGTGGGGATATTTAAAATCTAGCTCATGTCAAACATCTTGCTTGTTCATGGAATTGGAAGAGCATATCCATGATAAAATTAAAGAAACTGATAGAATGTTACCGTGAAGAGTCATTGAGAATTCCCAGTCAAGACCCCAAGATTCACATGTCATTGAATTGAATTGAATTGAATTTATTTACATTCTATAAATCCTAAGTAGGTTAGTACCTTTGGATACAGAACAAGTCAAAAGGTTACATACATAAGTACAGGCAATTTTAGCTTAAAAATTAATATAACTTAATTTTACATCATTCTCTATTTACATTGAAGTATTCATCTAAAGAGTAGAAGGAATGAGCATGTAGATAATTCTTTAACTCTGATTTAAACTTTTTAGTATCATTGCCCAAGTTTTTAATACTTTGTGGCAGATTGTTGAACACTTTTATGCCAGTAAAGTAGACTCCTTTTTGATATACTGATAAAGTTGATGAGGGTAGGTGGAAGTTATATTTTTGTCTAGTATTCATGTTATAGACATCAGAATTTAATTTGAATTTATCTTTGTTGTAAACAACAAATAAGAGAAGCGATAATATGTATTGCGATTGAAGAGGTAGAATTTTTAATTTCTTAAATAATTCTCTACATGAATCTCTACTTCTACATCCTGTAATGATTCTAATTATATTCTTTTGTATTTTAAAAATTATTACACTATGTGAAGAGTTCCCCCAAAATATTAATCCATAGTTCATAATAGAATGAAAGTAGGCATGGTAAACCATCTTCAATGTTTCCTGTGACATAAAAGGCTTAATTGATCTCATCGCATAGCAAGCTGCATTTAATTTAGGTATAATTTGTTCAATATGTATTTTCCAAGACAGTGTACTGTCTACATGTATTCCAAGGAATTTTGTATCAAGTACTTTACAGATTAATTTGTTGGCATAACTGATGTCCAGATCAATTTGGTGGTTGTTTTTAGTTGTGAATGATATGTAATGGGTTTTATCAAAATTTAATGAGAGTAAATTGGCTTCGAACCATCTGTTTAAGGCTTCAAATACAATATTTATGTCATTTTTAAAGTTTTCAAATTTAGAGTTCTTAAATATTATACTAGTGTCATCTGCATATAGAATTGGTTTAGATTTATTGTTAATGGTTTTAGATAGATCATGGACAGGACTTAAAAATGCTAGTATTAAACAATAATGAATGTGAAGAAAGCAGTCTTCTGGGATGTGGCACCATGTAGATATTGTGATAACTGACGTTTCATAGGAACGTATCACCTCCATCTTCAGGGTAGAAGAAAGAAAATCTGCCAGCGTGAGCACCTGCTCACCTGGATTGGTAACTGGATTTATCGGACATGTTCACAGTTTGTCACTACACTTCACAGATCACTAATACATGCAGACTAACTTCCCCAGTCATGTTGCTTATCAGTGGCTTCCAATGGTGGAAGTTTCTGTTCCTCCAGGCTCACTTGCTTCAGCGTGGCAACCATCTCACGCCATCTTACTCTGGCCACTGGCTTTAGCTGGTACTTCCTTTAGCTGTTAGCTCTGGGGCTGGACTGACTTCCAAGCCAAACTCACTCACAGGTTGGTCGGTCGGCTAAAATGCTGCTGGCATTTGTCAGCACAGTCATTCCTGGCTTCAGTCTTCTCAAGCTCTATGACCAAGACTTTCATTCTGTCCTAGACCTGTACGTGTTCCGAAATGAGGCCTCCTCTTCAATGAAAGGGGGGGGGGGGCAGGTTTCAGTCTTCCTATGTAGGTGCTATATTTGTTGCACCATAGTTTCAGCATGAGTATATCTGCACCATCATGGCTTCCAGTCAGTATGGACTCTGTGCTTCCTTTGTCACTGCACTATACTAAGTAACATTTGTACAAGATATACAGAGATGTTCTATCAGTGCAGGCTTGTGCAGCAGGTTATGCCATAACTTATGTAACTACTATGAAACTGCAGTTATTCAGCTGAACCGCTGTAGGCCTGATTGCCGCCAAGTTTAAGCCTCTTATACTCCCTATGCCTCGCTTCGCATTGTCCAATGCCACGTACATTTGGATTTGCATGGTTTAGGATTACTTCTGTGTGTATGCTGCACAATTTAGTTATATAGTCATACATGTAAGGATTTTGGAAAGCCATGTGTAGTTTGCAGGCTGGTGTTCACCTGTGTAGATTTGAGCATCTGCCACTTACTCCCTGGTGGGACAGGTATGAGTCATAACTAACCTTATCAGAGCTTTGTGAAGTGTGAGTTTAATATTTGTACTTAAATGCCCACTCTTGAAAGAGAATAGATCCTTATGTACATGCACAAGGCCTTGGCTACAGACCTTTCAATATGTTGTCTCTATATCATCCACCTGTGGAAGGTGACACCAAGATATATTATTTACAAAAGGAATGTCTTGTCTATTTAGTTATAGTATGTTGTCAGGGACTCTGAGTCTTCTGGAGAAATAGATCGAAAAAGGGAATACACGGGTGATTTATTTCTCCACAAGACTCAGAGTCCCTGATGATGTACTGAAACTAAACAGATGAGACATCCCCTTTGTAAATAATGTAATGTATCTTGGTGTCATCTTCGACAGTTTGATAATGTGGACACACCATATCGAAAGGTCTGTAGCTAAGGAAGATTGCTGGTACTCATCTCTGTTAGAGGCTGAGTCAACCCCAGGACAATAGTGCAGCTGGGAGAATTAGGTAAATTGAAAAAAATCCACCTTTTCAGGACTTGAACCCATGACCTTCCTCCTTGTAGCATAGTGTCTCAACCAACTATGCTACCATATGCCCACAGATTTGACTTATATCAAGATTAAATTTTATTTCAGTGAGAAAAGAAGCAATTAGCTTAAGAGACTTGTAAAAAATTCCATTTCTGACAATTTATATAATAGGCCAGCGTGCCATGTTATGTTGAAGGCTTTCTCGTTTGCAAGGCCGCAGGAGCCATCAACATATTACTGTTGAACTATAGGGTGGCATGATCTCCCAGCCTCACATTGAAATGTCGTACTGTGATCTGCTCAAAAGCCAGACTGACTTGCATTTAGTAAGTTTCTTTCCTCAGTGTGTTTTTTGATTGTTCTTAAAATAACTTCTCAGATAGTTTGTCTGTAGTGAACAAGAGGCTGAACTAACTCACAATGCAAAACTGACTCTTTGTGTATCATCAGTGTGGGCCTCATAGAAAACACCACTTCTAACAGTTTCTACTTTGTTGCATACATGCATTGCTTAGTCATAACTCTGATATTGTTGCATGTTTACAGAGCCATTGCCTAACGGTAGCTGTTTCTCTGGCTCCCTTATTCCAGCTGTCAGGCATCATGTCACAATACTATAGCATTTTCAGTGAAATTGTTTTCATCTTATTCAGTGTACTCATAACACTCCATAGCATTCTAAAAGCCTCACATTCCACTGCCACATCCTATGTGAATTTGAAAGTAAATGAGATGTTTGAGTAATTTACTTACAGGTTACATTTAAAGAAGTGTCCTTCCACTTTTTAACTACTGTATCACTACAGATGTCAGATGAAAGTTTTCCTGTTTTGCTTAATGGAAATCATGATCTCCCTAGATTTGTTTTGTATTTTGAAATATGTGTTTTTTATTAGACAAGGTGTCATCATCCAGCAATACACTGGATAGTGGCTGTGTGGATTGGGCCAAGCAAGCTGCACATCGGTGTTTGGTTTATTTGGGTGATCTAAGTCGGTACTTCTTAGACCTGTATCCTCGCTGGGACAGTGGTCTTGCTGCACGCTACTATTTACAAGTAAGTGTTTGGGACATATTTCAGAGAAAATGTTGTGAACATGAAGGTTTTAGCTGATTGTTTCTTAAATGAATGTAGAAATTTGGAAATTCAGTTGCAGTGTTTTAAGTTGAGTGAAAGAAGGATGGGCCAGACTGAACCTTGCACTTATTACTGTCATCATTTTATTGTGTGCAATTTCTGCTTATCTCCCTAACAGTTTGAAGTTTAGCACTTCACTTAATGGAGAAGCGAAGTACTGGCCTCATTTCATAAAATAACATCCGAGGTGACAAAATGTTAAATTAGCTAAGGCCTGACACATAAGATGTGTGAGGCTGTTTCAGCTGTATTCAGGTACCTTTCACAAGTGAGGTTGTTGGTTGGTTCCAATTTGAAAAGGTATCCTTTCAGTGACGGTACCCTGCAAGTAGTCCTGTCACCTCTGTGAGCTCTTTCATATTTGATTATGATATTTCCCAAGCTCTTCATGCAGAGGGCCCTAGAATGAAGATCTTTGCATGTTTGAATCATGTTATGGGCTTCCAGTATTTTATAAAATCTTTGTTTATCCAGTCCCTACATCCTTCTTGGCAGCTTCTGCTGAGATGCCTCACACCATTTTCAGTCCCATAATTGGATGTTCAGTCCTGTTCTAGCTAACTGGTAAGTGATTCCTGGCACCCATACCATTTAAATTCTGTTATGATCTATCAGTTTCAAAAAGGATTGATGGCAGTCCCATTCTAGCTTAGAAATGATGTGGTAATTGTCTGCTGCTTTAAGTTCTGCCAGAATTTCTGATACAGTATACATGTTTTTATTTTCATAGCCCCTAACTGTATTCTCAGCTTCACGTACCTTAATGGCATGTAGTCCCGCCTGGAATACTGTGGTTTACTGTTGAAGACTGATGCAGAGCTTCATGCTTATATCATAACGATACAGCTTGGTCCCAGTGCCTTCATTTATCTTGGAATCATCTGTGTACCAAGCTAGTCACCTTGGTTTATGCTGACTGTCTTACAGTGTATACACTTTTTCACCTTATTCTTCACTTCCACACTACATGTTTCAGCACTAATGTGCCATCTTCAGGTGTCTTTATGCACGTTAAACTATTGTACTGCATGCCATAATGTCTTCATTCTAAAATGACTAAAATCTGTATTCGTCATATAGGACGATGAATTCTAAATAATAAAACTTTTCAGGATTCTTCCTACGTCACACTTGAACATGCGAATTACGCCAGTCCTCTTTTATGTGAGCATTCCTCCTACATATATTTCTGTATCATGTTCTGTGTTGTGTTTTGCTCCTGTTACTGCATGTGTTGTACTGCATGCAGTAACAGGAGCAAAACCCCATATTTGTTAGGTTCTAAATGTACAACACAGGCTAAGTGCTCCATCCCCTGTTTCAAAAGTACAGGTTCAGTTTCATCTGTTCCTGCTGATTTAACCTTTAATGTCCAAAGTGCCCCGTTTGTGCCAGTGATGAGTATAGTCGTCATGACCAAAGTACCCTGTTTTGGCCAGTCGGGCATTTAAATTCCGCTAGTGGAAGCGCGCGCACACCGCTAGTAGAAGTACGTGCACAGTCCTAAATATTTATTTTTATATGTAGTAATTACCAGACAGACTTGAGTAAAACCCTAATAGAGGAATTAAAATGATACCTAAGTGAACAGCAGCTAAAAAGAATATATGTATGAGTTATGCTCAAACTAGCGGCCTCCGTAGTCTAGAGGTAACGTTCCCACCTCATGACTCGTAGTACGTGGGTTCAAATACCCGGCAGAGGTTGTCGAATTTTTAAGGGCGGAAAAATTCAGGGAACAAGTCCTCCGGGAGGGACTTTAAGCTGTGGGTCCCGTGTCGTAGCTTTATGGCACGTA